AATTAAGGTATGTACATTGTATTTTTAGACATTATGCTCTTGTGCATTTACAAGACCACAGTATAGTGTAACATAACTTTTATAGGCACTGGAAAAACAAAACGTTCATTTGACTTGCTTTATTGTGTTATTTGTTTGCTTCATTGCCATGGTCTGGAATCAAATATCTCTGAAGTAGGCCCATATTTCTTTACAGATTTGTTAAGCATTTTTAGGTCCTGGATATTGTCATTCTTGAATTTTTTTTAAGGTAAGATGAACCAGAATTACTTTTGTTTTGAGAAGGCTTACTTTAATTAGATATTTTGAGATAATTAAGGGTATTACAGTATTAGGACTGGAAATTATGACCTTAGAAAAAGAATGTTTGCTCATTATCACTCACAAATTAAACATGGCTTGGGATTTCTGCTAAGTTTCAAAATATTTACCAAATTTTAAAAAACACAGTTAACTAAAAAAAAAAAAAAAAAAAAAAAAAAAGACCCTGGATCAAAATAGTGGATCAAAGCCTTCTGTTGTTTAGTCGTCCAGCCTTTGGTTGTCAAGTTTTATTTAACTTGGAAAAAACCAGAAGGAGGGGCACCTGGGTGACTCAGTCAGTTAAGCAACTGACTTCCGCTCAGGTCATGATCTCGTGGTTTGTGGGTTCGAGCCCCACATCGGGCTCTGTGCTGACAGCTCAGAGCCTGGAGCCTGCTTCAAATTCTGTGTCTTCTTCTCTCTCTGCCCCTCCCCCACTCATGCTCAGTTTCTGTCTCAATTGAAAAAAAAAAAAGAAGGAAACTTACCACCCTAACTTGGAGTGTTAATGATCTTCATATACTCTAGATTTTAGAAGGTTGATTTTTAAAACTTTTTTTAAATAAAAAAAATTAAAAAGATTTTTGTCAATTACTATAAGTGATGAAAGACTCTAAAAGGAAAGTTGTTTCCAGGAAGTCATAGAATCTCCAAATGAAATTATGACAGTAAAAATGATCAGGGTTGGAGGAAAAAGGCAGGGATGACCAAACAGTTCATGGAGCTTTCAGAATGGAACGATAAAACCAGACCAGCTTTCTTAGCTGGGTCGGTCACATCATGCCTTCTAACATCTGATTTTACAAAGTGTCTATGTTTGTTTGCTTCATTGTTTATTCTTTATGTTGTTCTCAAAAGTACTTGAAGCAGCTTACATAAACGTATATAACATAACATGTTAAACAAGTGTGTGTTGGAGAGAAAGTCGAGGCACACAGGAAGGAAACTTAAGGAAGGCTGGTTAAGGAGGGTGTGGGAAGCTGGGACATCACCTTTGTACATTAGTCTCTGAGCTTTCCAGGTACGAGGTAGAGAGAAAAGTACTCTTCGTGTCATAAGAATATAAGCTTACTGAGGTTAGCATATTTTATCCACTGCCATCATTCTGGGACACAGCGATCTGCCTTGAAACAGGCATGTGATAAATATTTATCTAATGAATTCAATTTATAGTGTCTCTAAGATTAAAAATAACAGTGGTGGTCTGTGGAAACACAGCTTCTTTTAGTATTCAGAAATTTCCTCCTGTTCTTCATAAGAAGACACTCTAGATGCAGGGACCAACATTCTCAGTAACATTTTGAAGAATGATGGGGCATTTTTAATGGGGGGGGCCTTTCATTTATTTGTTTATTCATTATTAATTTGTTCATTGAGCAAACATGTCTTTTCCCAAGACACAGGGATCCAAAAAGTATCTAAAGAAGAGCAGGAGTGTAATAAAACAAGTATGGTAAAGCATTATAGGTTGTATAATACAGACTTGGAGAGCACTGCTGGTATGCAACACCCACAAGAATGTGTAACACATAGTAAGGACTTGCTACAGATTTGTTGAGTGGACTAATGAAGAGTTCATCAGACACATGGAAGAGAAGTGAGTTCTAATAAGAAGGGAGCAGTATAGCAAGGATTTGGGAAAATGCTGCAGGTAGCCTAAGGGAGAGAACGAAGTGTATGGTGTGGGGAGGGCTGGGGGCACTTGCTGAGAGGTTTAGTCTGTTGAAATAAACCCGAGTCCTATCTGGAATGCTATCACAGGGAGTTTTATCTTAAATTATGATTTTTTAAAAATTTTTCATCAAAAAATGATCTTCAGCTAAAGAGGGGATAGAAAAGAAACCTAATGTGTGTGAGCACCCACTCATTTGACACTTCCTCTTACCTAATATCCCCGGGTATCCTCTGAAGCACTGTTCCTATTTTCCGTATGGGAAGCCAAAGCTCAGAGATTTGAATGATTTTCCTTATTCTATGAAAGACAATTCCCACTCTTCTTAATTCAATGAAATCCTCATTCTATAAGACTGCCAGTGGGGTAGAGAGCTGATCCTGCGGCTCCTATTCTTGTGCCCAGGTTCATCATATTCTGGAGGACCAGTCCTAAGTCTGCACTCAGCCCCCTTGCCTCCTCATTCAGCCTTGGGGGCACAGAGAACAATTGAACATTGTAAGGAAACTGTGGGGTAACATTAAGGGTATTAAGATAGAAACATCACCCACTAATTACTGAGAATTGCCTTTGGCAGTGAGACTCCATGCAGACCTCTCTTGGCTTACCTCTGACCATCTTCATGAGACCTAGATTATCACTGAGTCCTACCACCAAGAAGACTTTTAGATGCTAAGATTTCTGCTCAAGAGAGTGAACACCCACAGAGAAAGTGGTTGTTTCAGAGCCTGTCTCCTGAAGATTGACCTGTATTCAAGGTATTTAATGTGCTTAGGTTTATGAGCTACATGGCAGATGCTCATGGATATCAGCTGTTGTTATTCACCTCAGTTCACATTTTTTAAGCTTTCCCACAGGATCGAACCTGAGATACCACGCTTATGCTCATGGCCTTGCAGATTCAGTGTGATCATTATACCAACATAAAAGTAGATTCAGTATTCACCTAAAGGATAGGCAATGGGGTTGTTTTATTATAGCGTTATTACAAGCTGGGGTTGGTGCCTGCGTATGTCTGTTTCTCTTCATCTCTTGGCCTTTCCCTAGAAAAGAGTATGAAGGGAAAAAGAGACCCTCTGCCCAAATCCGTGGAGATGATGAGAACCCAGCAGCTTTTTAGCCATCTTTCTGGTGCATGGTCAGTTGTTCAGGCTGCTGAAAGAACCTGAGTAAGAGATGCTGAGTGGCTGTTACGGGGCACCTAGGTGGCTCAGTCAGTTAAGCGTCCAACTTCTGATTTTGGCTCAGGTCATGATCTTGTGGTTTGTGAGTTTGAGCCCCATGTTCGGCTCTGCACTGATAGCACAGAGCCTGCTTGGGATTTTCTACCCTTCCCCAGCTCACGCTCTCTCTCAAAATAAATAAACTCTAAAAAGTAATTTAGAAATATTTTAAGAATCATGCAGAATTAGAGGAGTTGCAAATGATAGGCAAATGGTCTACTTTTCTAAAGGAAAGAAACACTTTTTGACCCCTGGGTGGTAAGTTTCATTTCATTTATCAGTAAGAGTCTGATGGAGAGGAAAAAGAGGAAACACACACCCCACTAAAATCCATCCCAAGTTTCACGAAGAGCAGGCCATACCAGATCAGGGCCCTTTCTTCTGGGACGGATTACCAGTTGGATAGCTCAGAAGGTCATGGACTTGTATCTCAGCCAAGTGTACTAATACAAATCGGTTTTAATTTTATTTTAGTGCCTGTTGTGTGTCAAGCACTGTGATAAGCACTGGGTATAATGGAGCTAAAGGTGTTCAGTTTCGTGACATCAGAAGTACTCTGTGATATCAAATAGATGCGCACAAATGAATGGTGGAAATAGATTGCTTACTAATAATTGATTTAATAAACACACATTTTTATAATGATGCTTATGCATTTTTGAATAAACCAGAAATGGTGAGAAAATGCCATTAGTTGATGGACCTAGTCCAGAAAGATGATCTTTTTGTGTGACAAAGACCAAAATTGAGATGAATTAGAACAAGGACAGAGTCCCACATTCCTTCCTGCTTATTTAAAAGTCTGGTTGTTTGTACATGTGTTTGTTCATGAATATGTGTGTGTTAAAGATTTAGCATCGATGCATAGATTTTTACTATAAACCTTTGGGATATAAGTAAAATAAATAAAATTTTCCTGAAGAAATTCCTCCTCTTCAAAGAGCAATATATTTTGAGACTCTGTTTTTCATCAGTCCACTTTGTGGGTGGTTATTTGGAGTAACTTGTACAAGATATTAGAGCTGCTGTAGAAAGTACTGTTTCTATGTCAATAGAGTGTGTGGCACGAAAGTACTTTTTTGTACTTTAAATAGTCTGTTATTTTTTCTTGATCTTTTAAGTATACATCTGAATGTCTAGGTTATACACTTGAACTGTACTCCATGTTATGTTAGACCACTTGACCCACAGATTATTTTGTATCCCAAAAATACCCAAAAGGAATTAAGAAATTAATTACAACTTTAATTATATTCAAGAAAACTCTCGTGATTCCTTATAGTTGTTATTTATCTATCTTCAAAGAGAGTCTTAATTGCCTTTGGCTTTGGGGTTGTAATGGTCATTCTAGACTGAGGAGCTTATTCAGACACTTAAGACTTTGGGCCAATACTGCCAATGACTTCATACCACTTCATCTTCTTTCCACTTCTATGGATTACCCAACAGCAATAATGGTCATGCTAGCCAGCCCCTGATACTCCTCTCTACAGTCAGGGGAAGGTCAGCTATTTTTTGATCCCCATGGGAGGGAGACAGCTCCTCAATCAGTATCCTAAAATAGCTGGCCATTCTCAGCTGCTGGGCTGGAGTCCCTCCAGGGGAGAGCAAAGGGAATACAAATCCACCCACTGGGTGTGAGTGAGAAGCCACCAAAATATGAGCTAGGAGAGGCTTCTAAAGAAGATCCTGCCTACTCAAAAAATCTTTCTTCTTTTTCTTACTTTTTTTTAATTGAGCAGCCACGTGTCTGCCATTTTTTAATTTCTTATTTTATTTAAAGGGAAACCAGTGACTTGAAGATGAGACTAAATATTGCCATCTTCTTTGGGGCTCTCTTTGGTGCTTTGGGGGTTTTACTCTTTTTGGTGGCTTTTGGATCGGATTACTGGCTTCTTGCAACTGAAGTGGGGAAGTGTTCAGGTGAACAGAATGTGCGTTTCTTCTTCCAAATACTGATGTCCTTGATAGGGATGAGGATGGCCTCATGTATCCTCTTGAAATCAAAGAATGGTGGTAGAGTGACTACTTCTTCACAGAAGAGATATGTAGAAAGCTAGTGACTATCATTATTTGGGATAAAATCCATGTTTTAGTATTTTCCTGGATGTGATCATTTAGGTTATGTGCTTTGTGTTGACAGCAAATTACTTCATTTGTGTTCTGTACAGATAGAGAATGTCACTTTCCACCATGAAGGATTCTTCTGGAGATGTTGGTTTAATGGGATTGCAGAAGAGAATGATTCCAGTATCTGGAAGTTCTGGTACAGTAAGTATAATATATCTTTATTTTCCCATTGTGATTAAAATAAGAATGAAAGAGCTTCTTATTCAGTATAGATCACTTACAAGATAGGATTGAATTCTTAACTGTAGAACCCTGAAGGATGTCTTCAGAAGATTGATAAAGTGATCTTTTTTCAGTAAGTAGAAATGGCTATAGAAAATTATTGTATTTTCTAACCTAAAATAGGGGCATGAATATTTATGGCAAAATTGAATTATCTTCTGTTTCCTTGTTCATATTTCAAATACACTAACCCTGACCAAAAAAAAAAAAAAAAAAAACCTAAATATTACCTATAGTATTTTTCCTGAGTGTCTATTATTGCTGTGTTTCAAATAAAAAAAGTTTTTTTGGCTATCAATTCTTGAAATCTAAAATTTTAAAATTCAGAAATAGGTGTTACTTTATATTCATGGATTTAAAGTTATATAAATATATATATATTACAATGAAACTTAATTAGCAGCAGTGGTGTTTAAAAGCTCACTGTGTTTGGGCTTTATCCAAGTTTGTGGGAATTATCAAGAAATGCCTGGCTTCTGATGTCTGCATTCTCTCACAGAAACTTGAAAGTTCTTTTTTGACATAGAATAGCTTCTAAAAAATACGATACATTCTTTTCACTGTACTTCCGATATTAATCTTTGAAAGTTAATTCATTGAAAATAACTAGCTTTTATCTTACTGCATTCAACAATAAAAGAGCTGTTTATTACCCTTAAGATTATGGTAGGTTGAAATTATTAGTATCCTTATCAAATACTCCTGCGATATGTTAAAATATGGCATTTACACAGTATTCTAGATTATATAATAAAAGAATATGTAATGAAGACATGAGATCTTGGAAGACATAAGCAAACTGACAGCAAGTTGGCATAGGTAAAAGGGACAAAGTAATGATGAAATGGAATTTTTCAAGAAATAGTTTACAGGCTATCTTATAGTCCTTACAGAGAGGAGAATGAGCATGCACTGCCAGTGAAAAGCCTTTAGACTCTGGCAGAGTAAGTCAGACTGTTCAAGAGGAAGATTTTGCCAAGAACTTAGAGAAAGAAATATTTCACTCCTCCTTAATGGGTACACAGTGAAAGCTTCAAGTTTTCCAACAACATGAAAGGTTTTTTTTCTTGTGTTTTCTCCAAATACTAAAAATGCCTTTGAATTATTAACTTGTATGGCCTATCATTTCCAGCCTTTCCCTAAAAATAGAATATAGAATACATTTTATATTAATCAGGACTGACCAAGAGTAAATCTAAGTTTATTAGATTTTTTAAAACTATTACTTTGTGAATACTATGTGCTAGGCATCATGTTGGTAACTGGAGAATATGGTTGTGAAAATAAATGAAGTGTAGTGCCCTTAATCTTAAGGTGATAATAGGGGCATTCCCAGCATTGAACTATGTCATGAACTAGATGTTTTGGATGAATCCACTTTCCAGGTCCCCTGAGCTGCCTGATGTGAGTTTTTTCCCTCTCACTCAACAGTTCTCTGAATCTGTTGCTCTAACCCACAGTTTATTTAGCTTGTGTATCCCAGTTCCTGTATTTCTCTTGTCAGGAACAAGTTTTTACTCAGCATCTCAATAACAACTATCATGTTTGGTCTCTTTCCTAGCCAATCAGCCACCATCCAAGAACTGCATGCATGCTTACCTGTCACCATATCCCTTCACGAGAGGGGAGCACAATTCAACCTCCTATGACTCTGCTATCAGTAAGTATCTGTGTCTGTAGAATGCCTCCAAGAAAGACTTGTTTTTCCGAAATAAAAAATAATTTAACATATATCATTTCAACATTTTATCTGGAATCAATCTGTTATATATAAAGAATAAAATGCCATTTTAATATAATATTTATAATTCTAATAGAATATAACAGGTTTAAAGGTAAAGCCATTGTAACTTACTTGCTACTTATAAAGACTTTTTTAAGTGTGTTTTCTGGTGTAGAAATAATGATGTTTATTAGGAATAACTGCTTCTAATGGGTTTAACAGACCTAAAGCTAGTCTTACAATGGAAAATATTATAATATACTCCCTGTTTTTAAAGCACTGTTTTTGTAATTGTTACTTATAAGAATATGAATATGCGACTGGTCTCCTGCAAAATGACTGGGCTTCCTTCTATGTGATATCTCAGAGAAAAAGAATAGTCAAGTGTCATTAATTGAGGGTCATGACTACCTAGTTTCTTTGGTATTTACATACTATTTGTCCTATGGAAAGTACACAAACTTAATTTCTATGGAAAATACATTAGATATACTTAAGTGTGGTTTTATAGAAAGTACAAAATCTCAATGTGGCAACTTGATTCTCAGCTGGTTTCATGAAATTTTTAATTAGGGGTGTTTATCATAATCTTAAAACTAAGAATTGGCTCAGAATTTCCAATGTCATAAATAAAGGTAAAATATATATATATATTTTAAAGAGAATAAGTAATATATTTACTATTCTGAATAAACTTATATTAGTAGTCTCCAGAGAATCAATAAGGTGGGGGTAGAGGTTGGGGAGAGAGAATGGTTGATGGATGGATGGATTGATGGAGAGATTTTAAAGAATGGGTTATGTGATTGTGGAGGCTGGAAAGTCTAAAATCTGTAGGGCAAGACTGCAGGCTGAATAAGAGTTGCTACTGTAGTCTTGAATCTGAAGGCTGGAAACTCTGGTAGAATTTCTTCTTTAGGTAACCGCAGTCTTTATTCTTAAGGCCTTCAACTGATTAGATAAGGCCCACCCCCATTATGGGGAGTCTAACAACATTAATGCATAAAATTAACCATCACAGACCTTAACAAATCTTCACCTCATTCATCCATTTTTTCATCTTTCTATAAAAATATGTATTTGCATGCCTCGTAATTTTAAGCGTGTCAAAGGATGTAGCATTTGCTTATATCACATGACTAACATGCCATTTTATGGAGTGGAAGTGGGGTCTGAATAGCAAATGAGATAAGCTGTCATACAGCCATGCTTATCAATCAGAGTTGCTTGTGATTTAAAGGGCTCTGGCTTTTGGCCTTGAGAACAAGAGGCGTGGATGCTCTTTCCCATTAATAACCGTACAAGGCAGTTCTCATTTGTCAAAGTGTTTGGCATTGTACGTGACATGGACCTCCTCACTGATAAAAGAAGAGATGTCATAGGAAACAATAGGATAAATTATTCCATATTACAAAAAGTTGCAAAAAAGGAATCCCTTCCCTGACATTCTTCCTTTTGTAAAATTGACTAAGAAGTAGTATAGTAGAAGAGGGTTGACTTTCCACAACATTTTAGGCATTTGCATAGATATTAGTCTTGCTGTTGATACTCATATGTTCAGATCCTGTGATGGGATAGGTATCATGGACACCAAATGTACATATTTGAAGAGTCTGTACATCAAGGAATTAGTGGAAAACTTGAAAAACAAGGTGACATGATCTAAACATAATAATTATGATGGAGGTGGAGAGTACATGCATGTCACAAAAATTATACTGCAATTACAGTTAGAATTATTATGTAGCACTGCATATAATTACTGTGTCATTTTTGGATCTAATGACAAAACCATATCCAATTTTTTTTTGTTTTAAATTATCAGACTCCTCTTGGCTCACATATTGTAACTCCCTATTCACTTTAGCTTCTTTATCAAACATTCCAGCAAACATGACCAAGATGGGAAGAAGTATGTCCTACAACAATAGAAATAACATATGCACATTTCATTTACCTTCATAAGAGCATACAGTTGTATCTGACATTATATTTGGGTGATTTTTTTTATGCTTCCCTTTATCCAAGAGAAGGATAGATACCATAGATACCATTAGAAGGGTCTTATATGAAAGAACAATGCATGTTTCCTAGTTAGCAAGGCCATCTAGTCTTTACCAGCCTCTGTACCCACTCTTGGGCCTTATGTAGCCTCATAATTATGAGGCATCATACATTTGCCAATTTATCTTTGGTAAATTCAAGGTATTGTTTTTAAAAATCAGATACATTCCAACCTGGCAAACAATTGGTAAAATAGCTTTGTGTTTTCCTGAGTTTTTGCAGTTACAGTTAGCCAGTATTGAAATCAGCGAAAATAATATAGCAGTGTTTGATTATTCTGGAAAGACTATTTTACAATCATTGGATGCTATTGATGAAATTATTCTATTTCATAATATGGAGACTGAAACTCAGAGAAACCATGTGACTTGGTTTTCACACTGCTGATCCCTGGCAGAACTAATGCAAACATCCAAATCTCTACATTTTGTTTATTGATAATCTTACAAACTACAGTGAATGAAAAGGCAAATTTTAGTGCTTACCATTAAATCGTTTTAAGTATAAGTCTTTTAGTTGGATCTCAACAAAAGAGCAATTTTAAATTTATGTTCCCTTTTTCTACTTTTCTATGATCCTGACCTGTGTATACAGTCAGGTCTAATTCAGTGTTTCCTGTATTTATTTATTTATTATTTGTTTGTTTATTTATTTATTTATTTATTGTCTCAAGTACATGTTCTAAAGTTCAATTATACTCAACTCAAGTTATTCGAATGGTTGCCCAAGCCTAGAGGGGGTTTTGAGGTAGGATTGTATACCTTGACGTCCTTTAAGCAATTCTATTATCTTTTGATATCTGTCAGAATTTAGATTTTCTGATTTGGTTCATGATTAAACTCAATAACAGTTCATTTCTTTGGTATAATTTGGTGATGATGAATAGAACATAGATTAATTTGCAAGATAAGTCAGCCCTTGAGTGAATTAATTGTTTTCTCGATATCCCTATAGCCTTTGCCCACACCTACATCAAAGTGCTCATTATATGTAACTGCAATTGTTTACCTTAGTTTCTTTATTACTTGTTGGAGCTACCTAGAAGCACAGAATGTAACCTTCTAGTATTTATACCCCCAGACCCTACTATAGTGAGTGGTACTTAGTAAATGTCTAAATATTTCTATGTAATGACTTAGGACAAAAAATCCTTGGCCTTCTTCTTAAGCAGAATATATTGAACATAATTTCTCCTTCCCTTCATGAGTTGGAATAAATGCATACAAAATGGCCTTCTTTGAGTTCTTCGGAATCAGTGTTTGCCCTCCTGCATCAGGGCCTTTGTACCTGCCAGCCCTCTTCCTCAAATACTATGCCTGTTTTCCCAACCCCTCCTCCCTTCATTTCTCTGACAAAGCAGGCCCATCCTCTTAGCTAATACATACTTCCATTTTATTTCTTTTTTTTAAGTTTTTGTTAATGTTTATTTTTTTTTGAGAGAGAGAGAGAGAGAGCATGAGAGGAAGGGGCAGAGAGAGAGGGAGACACAGAAACCAAAGCAAGCTCCAGGCTCTGAGCTGTTAGCACAGACTCTAACACGGGGCTCAAACTCATGGACCACAAGATCATGACTTGAGCCAAAGTCAGATGCTTAACCAACTGAACCACCCAGGCGGCCCCATACTTCAGTTTTCTAAGGAAGCCTTCCTTGCTGGCCCCCTACTCAATTAGTACATGGGCTAGACCAGGTTCTCCTTTATCAAGCCCATTCTTTTGTGTGCTTTTTGTTTGTTTATTTTGTTTTAGTTTGTTGGTTTGTTTTGTTTTGAGTAGGCTCCATACCAAACATGAGGCTTGAACTCATGACCCTAAGATCAAGAGTCATGTGTTCTATTGACTGGGCCAGGCAGAGGCCCATATTAAGTCCATTCTTTAATTTGATTGTCCATAGCACAGATTTTAATTATTTACTTGTGTAATTGTTTTGTTCATATATTTCCTTCCCAGTTCAACTCTAAGCTCCGTGACAGTGACATCTTGTATGTTCAGCTCACTGGTGTACCCACTATAGGCTGTAGGCTAAATGAATACTTTTGGAGTCTCTGTTGCTACACTATACTGTGGTACTAATACTGATGCCCTCAGGAACTATTTACTAAGTGGACCTAGGTTACTCTTACATTTTTTTTCACACTTCTTATAATTCTTAGGTCTTCAACATTGCTTTCACATGTCAGCTATCCTTCGCTTTCATTGTCAGTGTTTACTTACTTGTATTCTCTCTTGGTCTTCCCGTCCTTCAGCCTTACAAAACAATTGGAGGGTGAAGTGGATCATGTAAGACTAGAACAGGAAAGAGGCAGGGAGGCAAGATACTAGGTTGTAGTATCATTAGGCTGTGACAGAAAACAAACAGTAGCTAAAGAATAAGGGCAGTTTTTCTTCCACAACAACAAAGTCAGAAGCAGCTGCCGTAACCATGCTATCAGGGACCTGGGCCCTTTAGGCTTTCTTCCCACCATCCTTGGCAGAGGCACCGTTGCTGCCACGTTCCTCCATCTTCAGAAGAGCAGAGTGTCCTCAGAATTCTCCAGTGGATTCCACCAGTGCTCTGGTCATCAGGACTGTGTCATATGGCCTTCGTAGGCTGGGACCTGGAGTTACTGGCTTTCTAGTCAGAGGGCTAGGAGTGAGTACAGAGTAGATTCTCTTAAAGGATCGAAAGTTGAACAATGGCGGGGCAGCAAGGATGAAAAGGAAATAATGGATATAGATGAAAAACTTGGTAGCCAACTGAAAGAAAGCTGGAGGAATCTGGAATGATGAAGAAATTCCCTTTTGAAGAAGGCATGATTCAGTTAAAACAATGTACAGTAAAAGATAGTATGGTCACTTCCCTCCCAACAATAAGTACTATTTTAGTATGTTAGTTT